GGGGGGGGCTGTGGGGGGGGGGGGGGGGGGGGGGGGGGGGGGGGGGGGGGGGGGGTATACCCTAAACCCTCAGCCCTAAGCCCTAAGCCCTAAATACTGCACCCTGAATCCAAACCTTCGTCTTGCGCCCACATAAACCCTTACATCAATACCAATAGTCCGCCCGTGATCGCCGCACAACTCCAGCAAAGTGTACCAAAAAGGCCTATGCTAACTACTGCTAACTACATGCCTCATCAGAATTTTACTTCCATACCTTACCAAAATCCGAATTCAATAGGGCCTCCCCACCACTGAACCCTAGCCCCTCTACCCTGTCAACCCCAAACCCTCTCAACCCTAAACCCCTAACCCCATCCCCTAAACCCTAAACCTTAAGCCCTAAAACCTAAACCCTAAACCCTAAACCCTAAACCCTAAGCCCTAAGCCCTAAGCCCTAAACCCTAAGCCCGCAGAAGTTCTGTCGTGGAAACCTGGAGGCGCTGCTTGCCGGGCCACCTCAGAGATTTTGGGGCTTGGGGCGCTTGAGAGGTTTAGGGTTTAGGGTTTAGGGTTTAAGGTTTAGGGTTTAGGGTTTAAGGTTTAAGGTTTAAGGTTTTAAGATTTAAGGTTGAAGGTTTAGGGCTTAGGGTCTAGGGTTTAGGGGGGTTTAGGGGGTTTAAGGTTTTAGAACTTAGGGTTTCTGGTTTCGGTTTCGTAAGGGGAGGGCTGGCAGAGCCAGCCAAGAGCTGAAGCAGGACGCGGCCAAGCCTCACGGACTGCAAGCTGCGACCCCCAAAAGCCCAAACTCCTAAACCCTAAACCTTGAATCCTAACCCTAAACCCTAAACCCTAAACCCTAAACCCTAAACCCTAAACCCTAAACCCTAAACCCTAAACCCTAAACCCTAAACCCTAAACCCTAAACCCTAAACTCCCAAACCCTAAACCCTCCAAGGCCCGCGGCTGTCACGGCCGGCAGCTCAAAGAAGTCCAAGTTCAGCGATGCGACGATCTCCGCCAGGCGGGGGTTCGCCAGGGGCCTCTCGGCTCTTGGGGGGCTTTTTGGGGGTGGGCTTAGGGTTTAGGGTTTTTCAGGTTTTAGGGCTTTAGGGTTTTAGGGTTTAGGGTTTGGGGTTTGGGGTTTGGGGTTTAGGGTTTAGGGTTTTAGGGTTTAGGGTTTATTGCTAGGGTTTAGGGTTTCGAGTTTAGGGGTTTAGGGCTTAGGGTTTAGGGTTTAGAAGTCCCTTTGAGGGTTCTCCAAGACGGGAGTTGCTGGTAGGCCTTTCAGGCTGGTAGAGGGATCGAGGTGTCAAGGTTGTCGTTTTGGGGCGGTACAGAGGTGTTAGGAAGCGAGGCCCCTATAGGCGTTAGGGTTTCTATGGTTGGGGTTCAGTGTGGCTCTACTTCAGGATGCCTGAGCATAGCTTTGGCTGATTAGGCGGAGTGGGTTGCAATCAGATCTCAAACCCTGTAGGTCGTCTGCACCTTAAACCCTAAACCCAAAAACGCCAGACCCCAAACCCTAAACCCTAAACCCTAGACCCTGCATTGCGCATCGGGGCCCAGAAAGCCCAGACCCGAGGCCATAAACTCCACGCTACTTGGGCTGTAGAGTTTAGCGTTTAGGGTTTAGGGTTTAGGGGTTAGGGGTTAGGGTTTAGGGTTTAGGGTTTAGGGTTTAGGGTTTAGGGTTTAGGGTTTAGGGTTTAGGGTTTAGGGTTTAGGGTTTAGGGTTTAGGGTTTAGGGTTTAGGGTTTAGGGTTTAGGGTTTAGGGTTTAGGTTAGGGTTTAGGGTTTAGGGTTTAGGGTTTAGGGTTTAGGGTTTAGGGTTTAGGGTTTAGGGTTTAGGGTTTAGGGTTTAGGGTTTAGGGTTTAGGGTTTAGGGTTTAGGGTTTAGGGTTTAGGGCTTAGGGTTTGGGGTTCAGAGTTCAGAGCTTTGCCCAAAAACGCCAGCCATCCATCGAAATACCCTACTTATAACAACCCATGAACCTTCACTAAACCCTAAACCCTAAACCCTTAACCCTTAACCCTTAACCCTAAACCCTAAACCCCCTGGATCCTAAAACACCTCCCGCGGAGATCAGAGGCTGAGGTCGCTGCTTCTGGCCCTCGGCTCGCTGCCTGCCGCCGCAAAGATTCAGCTCGCCCACCGGTTTTCGGTGGTAGGGTTAGGTTGCCGTGCGGGCGAACTCTGCCCGGGCTTTGGGGCCTTCCCGAAAGAAGATTCCCGGACTCTTCGGGCTCTGAAGAAGTACTTGTCATGTGGGTGGTTGTCGAAGTTGTTGTCTCTTTTTGGATCCCTATCAGTTAGAACACGGCACCTAATATTTAGGGTACCCCAAAAGGGATTATAATTTTGACAACCACCCATGTGGGTGTTTGGCGTTGTGGCCCGAGGTCCATAACTGTGGGCAATGTTGCTTACTCATGGCTTCTACCCAGTATGGCCACGTCCTCTGCCCTTTACTAAGATCCTGTCGTTAAAGGACGAAGTGAATACAACGTTGTGGTACGCTTCTTCTCGCGGGGTATGGGCTTCAGGTTTAGGGTTTAGGGGAGTTTTTCAACAGGAGGCGTGGCCTTTCTTGGGGGGTCCGATAATTAGGATTGTCAAATTTTGGGTATTGTTCAGCGGGTCCCTTGTTTGGGAAATACCCACATCGCGCTTAAAAAAAAAGAACATGCTGGCTGCATTACATGACGTGAAGGCTACGACCAACACTGATATCCAGATGGGCGCCTTTTGCACAGCGGGCATGTGCTAGTAGGCTCCGCCTGCCACCGAGTCAGCGTAGGGTTTGGACGCACTTCAGGTTCACATGTTGGGACCTTCAGAAGACAAGATGACCCACAGGCCTTCGACCTCACCTTACCCTAGTTGTCCAGTAACCTGGGGGAATTAAAGGTTAACCTTTGGGAGTATAAGGGGATTCTACTACCCCAAAAAGGTTGAAGGTTGCCTGGTTACCTACTCTACTACTAGGTTACCTGAAAACCTGAAAGCCCGAATCCTAGGCCGGCTGGGGGTGTTCTCTAAGTTAGGGTCCCTCTTTGGGTTCCCCATAATAAGGACCCCCCCAAAAAGGGATCCTAATTCCCTAAACCCTAAACCCTAAAACCTAAACCCTAAACCCTGAACCCTAAACCCTAAACGCTAAACCCTAAATCGTCATATGGCGTTGAGGGTTCCCAGGCTCACTACGGGGCCTCAAAGCAGCGCAGGCACGCGGATCGACCGCAGCACGGCGCAATGCTTGGGTTCTCCTGGCCCTAAACCCTCGACCCAAGGGCACCTAAACCCTAAACCCTAAATCCTGAACTCTAAACCCTAAACCCCTTCTTGGTTTAACGGGCTTAAAAAGGGAGCCTAAACCCAAGACAAAGGGAAGAAGGGCTCTATTCCGGGTTCCTAGAACCGAAACGCCGAAGCCCCTGACCCTAAAACCCTCAACCCCTGAACAGGGCTTGGAGTTTAGGGTTTAGGGTTCGGGCTACTGCAGAAGGCATCTACTAGGGTTCATAGGACTGCGTAGGTGCCAGAGCGGGAACTACTTTGGACAGAGCTTCGCTTTCCGGTCCTACATGCACAGCTCGTAAGATTGTTCCGATAGTCATGCTGAGCCTCATGCGGTTCTTGCAAGGGGAATCAACAGGGCTTCTATGAAACGCACACCAATGTTCCAACTCATGTTGGATCCCGTTGTGCGTGGGTCCCTCAAGCTTTCCGGCGTCGTTTTACAACACAGCAGAGCCTCCCGAAACCCTAAGCCCCGCAACCCCAAAACCCTGAAACCCCGAAACCCTAAACCCTACACCCCTTAACCCTGAACCCTGAACCCTAAACCCCTTAACCCTGAACCCTAAACCCCTTTCGGCCAAGGTTCGAAGAGCCCGGTGCACAAGGAGCCTGGGCCACTCTTAGGATCTCTTTGGAAGCGGCCCGGGGCTTCACGAATGTGGGAGGCCATAGGGAGGGGGGGAGCAGGGTTAACAGGGGGAGTTCCGGGGGTCCTTTGTTGGGGGTTTAGGGTTTAGGAGAAGGGTGTAGGGTTAGGGTTTGGGGTTCATGGGTTGGGTATGGTTGTTTAGAGAAGCACCGCAAAGGCGTCAAAAAGCCCGCAAGTGTGAGGTCTCGAGTTTCAGGCTTAGGCTTCGGGTTAGGGTTAGGGTTTAGATGACCCTCACAAAGCGCAGCCAGCAGTCGGACTTGGAGGCTGCAAGTCTAAAGCTGTATATGTATTGGGGGTGCCATACATATCCCAAAGTCCAAGAAAGCCCGAGAAGTCCCCAGGCTTTGTTCAAGAAGTCCAGAAGGGCTGTAGGGCTTTGGGTTTAGGGTTCTGATGACATAAAGATCGGCGTTTCGGGTGCACCCCGAAACAAAACCTTAAACCCTAACCCTGCAGGGTTCTTTTCTTTTGCGCCGGGGTCGGGGGTTTGGGCAGCTGTGCAATGAATCTGGGCGCCGAACAAAGGTACTCTGGCGGGCAGGGCGCCTTTTCCTCTGGAACTGGCTCGGGCCTTTCAGACCAGGGAAGCTTCAAGACAGCTTGGCAAGGTTTAGGGTTTAGGGTTTCGGGTTTAGGGTTGAGGGTTGAGGGTTTTGGGTTTAGGTTTTAGGGTTTAGGATTTGACAGACCACGAAGTCTAAACCCCAAATCTGAACCCTCCACACCCAGTCACGCTTCAAGTGGACCGCAAGCTGAGGGTAAAGCTTTGGCTCGGGGGCAGTCCGCGGCCGTTTCGCCTGGCTCAGTATGTCAGCTCCTGCCAAGGCTGGCGGAAGGTGTTTCGGGTCTCGGGGCTCTGGGTTAAGGGTTCCTGTGAAGAAGCCGTGCGTTAGACTAAAACTTCGGGGAGTCGGAACCGAGCCGCGAGGAGTTCAAGCAGCAAACGAAGCCAATGAGGACTCTTTGTTAAGTTTTACAAAAAGCAATACTACTTGCAAAAAAGGTCAAGGTCAGTTGTGAATTCTTGTTCTTCTCATCTTGACAAAGCATGTACCTGTCCACCCTTAAGGCAAGCTCCGTCCTTCCAGAGTCAGGACCGCAGGCTTCTTCTGCGTCTGGATCGGTGTGCGACGCACCGTCACCTCAGGTGCCGGGACTCTCAATGCGCGGAGGGTTTAGGGTTTAGGGTTTAGGGTTTAGGGTTTAGGGTTTAGGGTTTAGGGTTTAGGGTTTAGGGTTTATTAGGGTTTAGGGTTTAGGGTTTAGGGTTTAGGGTTTAGGGTTTAGGGTTTAGTGTAGATACCCAAATCCAGTCCCAATCACAAACAAACCCAAGGTTCGGTTTCGGAAAGGGGCTCTCCACGAATGTATACTCTTGGGTGGCTTCATAAGCGGCTTTCGAACCCTAAACCCCAAACCCTAAACCCTCTACATGAGCAGCCAAGTCACAATCACGTTTGGCTTCAGCAGATGGCCATCACGAGTGTACACCTCAGCGTGCTGATTGCTTGGTCTCTGGAAACTGCGATAAGCCACGTTGCCAAACCCTAAACCCTGAACCCTGAACCCTGAACCCTGAACCCTGAACCCTGAACCCTGAACCCTGAACCCTGAACCCTGAACCCTGAACCCTGAACCCTTGACTGCTAGAAGTCCATACACTTTGATAACTTGTGCTGAAGTCTTAAGTTCCTTAGCGGGAACCCAGGATCACCAAGTGTGTGCACTTTTTTCACTCAGAACGGCGACGACGGGGTTTTGCTCCACTCATGGAAGCCCACTAAACCCTAGACCCTAAGACCCAAACCCAAAACCCAAAATCCCAAATCCCAAACCCCAAACCCCAAACCCCAAACCCTAAACCCTAAACCCTACACCCCAAGAAGTTTTGGGGTTGAAGCCTTCGGGGGCCGATCCAGGAACACCAGGAAGCTACCCGCCTCCCCGGTGGACTCGTTGAGGATCTGCAGGTCCACCTGGGGGTTACCGATATAGTGTTCAGGGTTTAGGGTTTAGGGTTTAGGGTTTAGGGTTGAGGGTTTCGGGTTTAGGGCTCTTATTAACAGGGTATCCTACTATTTGGGGGTCTATATTCGGTGTCCCTTATTTTCGTAAAGCCCCACCTCTGGTGGAAGCGCGGTAAGTGAAAAGCCTTGTAAACGCCCATGGACCTCCAAACCCTAAAAACCCTAAAAACCCTAAAAACCCTAAAAACCCTAAAACCCCTAAAAACCCTAAAAACCCTAAAAACCCTAAAACCCTAAAAACCCTAAAAACCCTAATACCCTAAAGCCCTAAAACCCTAAACCCTAAAAAACCCCTAAACCCTAAAACCCCTAAACCCTAAAACCCCTAAACCCTACACCCGACAACCCGAAGCCCTGAACCCGAATCCTCTCAGCCCCTCGCAGAGCTCAGTGCACATCCCTGGGTTTAGGGTTTAGGGTTTAGGGTTTAGGGTTTAGGGTTTAGGGTTTAGGGTTTAGGGTTTAGGGTTCAGGGTTCAGGGCTTAGGGTCTAGGGTCTAGGGTTTAGGGTTTAGGGTTTAGGGTTTAGGGTTTAGGGTTTAGGGTTTAGGGTTTAGGGTTTAGGGTCTGCCCCCAACATCTGCAGAGCCCCTAGACTCAACCTTAAACCCCAAGCCCCAACACCCCAAACCCGAAATCCCAAACCCCCAAACCCCAAACCCTATGTTACAGTATTGTATTCTTAAAATTCTTTTTAGCATTGAGAATGTACTAGCATATTCTTTTCATGTTATGAAAAAACCCTAAACCCTAAACCCTAAACCCGAAACCCTAAACCCTAAACCCTAAACCCCCTTAAAACCTGCCTTTGGCAGCTTCTGCTTCTCGGCGATCGTGTGTCTCAGGTCGCCAATGGCAATCTCTTTCCCATAGAACCTGAGACCGCAGGCAAGATGAAAAACGTATCTATATATGTAGATGTTTCTTTCATGTTTTAACTCCAACCCTGGTTTATGTATGGAGAAAATGTACAATTCATGCTTATATTTATACTGAGTTCTTTATTCACTTACTTTCTTATGCTTCACTATTTATTTATTCAGAATGCAATATGTATAACATTGGCTACTGTGATCTTTCCTACCCTTACTGGACTGTATACATACAACCTAAAGAAACTTCAAACGTAATACATGGCCCAAAATCCCAGGCACCCCTAAGCTCCGAACCCCGGAACTTTCTACCCTGGGACCCTGACTCGATCTTCTCAAGCACCTGGCTCTTGTGCGCAAAGCGGTAGTAGACCTGACTGAGCCACGGGGCAGATCTACACTGAGCCCAGCGACCGGCCGAGTCATCCAGAAAGAAGCCTGCAGCATAAGACCTGCTTTATGCAAAGTAGCTTGGACCCTAAGGCCTTGAGGTTGAGGAGCTTGCGCAATGTACCCCACTACCCGGCAGCAAATCCCTGCACAGAGCGTCTTTATCTACCATTTGCCTGAGAGCCCCCAAAAAATACACAAATATTCATCCCCATTGTATTACCCCCATAAGGAAGAATATTGTTTTGGGGGGGGCGGGGGGGGGGGGGGGGGGTGGGAGGGTCCTTCCCAGGACGGGCGATTATACCCTGTAACCCCCTGATAAGGCCGTTTATAGGGTTGATTATGGGGATTATAGGGCTTAAAAACCCTAAACCCTAAACCCTAAACCCTAATCCCTAATCCGTAAACCCTAAACCCTAAACCGGTAAGCAATTCGTAGTTCTCTGCTGCTCCGGCAAGCGGCCGAGTTTTTGTCCAACTTCGACCGCCGCAGCGACATGGCAACCGCTCAAGAAGAATTCGAGCACCCGATTAGGGTTTAGGGTTTAGGGTTTAGGGTTTAGGGTTTAGGGTTTAGGGTTTAGGGTTTAGGGTTTAGGGTTTAGGGTTTAGGGTTTAGGGTTTAGGGTTTAGGGTTTAGGGTTTAGGGTTTAGGGTTTAGGGTTTAGGGTTTAGGGTTTAGGGTTTAGGGTTTAGGGTTTAGGGTTTAGGGTTTAGGGTTTAGGGTTTAGGGTTTAGGGTTTAGGGTTTAGGGTTTAGGGTTTAGGGTTTAGGGTTTAGGGTTTAGGGGTTTACGGTTGAGGGTTCAGGGTTTAGGGTAACACCCTTCGCTGCCGGGATGCGTGTGCTTCTAGACATGTACCCAACTTGGACTCCACTCCTCCGAACCATCAAACGTACGTACCGACATACATACAGACAGATGTCGATCTGCGCAGATGCATCCGCGTACAGGATCCTGTATGCACATATGCACATCACGTTCAGATGTATATACGTTTTGTATATGTTCATTGCTCAATATGTACGCACGTGTGTTGTAAAGACATATGAATATGTCTATATATATATATATTATAACATATATTTGTGTATATGTTTGTTTATATATATATATATGTACGTACATACAGTAAGTATCGCCTGGTTTTCAGTCACTGAACCGTGGCACAACACAATCCAAGAAGACGCCCTGAATACGGCTGCAGAAGCATCACTGGGCTAGGAAACCCTCTCTGCCGATCATTCATCGAGCAACCGCTGTCAGCAGCGACGACCATTCGTGGCTGTGGATAAGTTCACTGCTGCTGGATCAACTGTTGGAATTACTCTGGACCAGAAGCTAAGCCATTTGCGAACTCAACAACAGTGGACCTAGCGGAAGAGCTGTTCAAGGTGTCCAAAGAAGTAGGTCGTGGGTTAGTCTAGGGCCCCTAAACCCTCGACCCTAAACCCTCAACCCTAAACCCTCAACCCTCAACCCTAAACCCTAAACCCTAAACCCTAAACCCTAAACCCTAAACCCTAAACCCTGAACCCTGAACCCTGAACCCTAAACTAAACCCTCAGCCGCCTAAACAAGGGATAGGGGGGGATCCTCGTCGTCGTAGGTCGCCTCGAAAGAGCCAGCCTGAAGGTGGCGGAGTTCGGTGTAGCACAGGAGCCTAGTATAGGGATGAAAAATTAGAACAGGGTTTAGGGTTTAGGGTTTAGGGTTCAGGGTTCAGGGTTTAGGGTTTAGGGTTTAGGGTTTAGGGTTTAGGGTTTGGGGTTTAGGGTTTAGGGTTTAGGGTTTAGGGAATTAGGGTTTAGGGTTTAGGGTTTAGGGTTTAGGGCTTGGGGGTTCCTGTCGTATAATTACAAAGGGAACATAAGGGAATATTATTAGTAATTCTTCCGACCCCTATATTACACAACCTTGAAAGCGCAATTCGATTTGGGGTAGTTTAGGGAGCTTACTCTCTAGAAAGAGCTATTTGGGGTAGTGTATGTGGGTAATTGCTCTAGTCCGGAGACGAGATTGTTAATCTTTTGAGGATCTGCATCAGGGCTTGTGGAGCGATGAAGGCGTCATGCTTCGGGAGCCCTAAACCCTAAACCCTAACCCCTTGATTTGATATTAGCGACGCTCCTATTTTCCTTGAGCCAAAAGTAGCGTTAGTCGAGGTACATGTACTCATCCCTTTAGGAGAATACGTGTCCGGAATCACCCCTCCTGGACGGATGCGGGTGAGCTGACGTCCACTGTAGGACACTGTACACTACACTACTGCCTTTGCTATTCCGCTTCTACCGGAAACTAGCTCAAAGCTCATTCGGCGCAGATGTTGCTCGGCAGACTCAGTGCTTAAGGACTTGGTGAGCAAGTCCGCGGTATTGATTTTAGTATCGAACTGTCCGTTCGCAAGCTTCTCTTGGATCCATAGGTATCGTGTTTGCACGTGTCTGGATTTTCCCAGACCAAGACGACTGCATGTCCCCAGCGCAGCAGCGCTGTCGGTATGCACCTGTAACTTCGTTTCTATCCCCCATCCACGAAGAAGCTCTTGCGTGGCCATTCCGCTGGCTACACCCTTGACCAGTGCGTAGTATTCGGCCTCTCCCGAAGATAGCGACACTGTACTCTGGAGGTTGCTTGAATGTCGCACTTCGTGGCGTCCATAGTAACACACTAGTCCGGTGGTGCTCTTCCGTGTCTGGAGGCATCCGGCGGAGTCACTGTCTGCATGGATCGTGACTATCGAACTAAACCTTTGTGGTGCGAACCTTTGCACCAGTCGCATTGCACCTTTCAAATACCGAGCAAGTCTCTTGAGGTCAGCAAAGTCCGCTTCAGTCGGGCCTTGCATTCTCCTCGCAAGACATTTGACCGATTCCGACAGGTCTGGCCTGTCTTGAGCCAGGAACGCTGCTCGCATAACCAGCGAGCGGTATTGGCTAACACGCTCTGGCTCCACGGTCGGGAGCTGAAGTCTCTTCTCCAAATCTTCAGCTTTCATCTTCTCGTTTGGGCTCTTTACTGGCTTGCATGTTTCCATGTGTAGATCTTTCAGGATGATTTCGGCGTGCCTTGGATCAGGCTCATAGGAGATTACTCCTGACCTCTCGTCGAAGCGCACGAGACGGTTCAGGACGCAGAACTCCTGTTTCTTTTCTCCTGGTCCAATGCTGCCATCAACCCTTAGGTCGTATTTCTTCCTTAAGACCTTTTCCACATGTGCTTGACCATCGTCATCGGCGAGAATCAGAAAGTCGTCGCCGTGAACCAAAAGTCTTGTCTCTGTTGCGCTATTGTAGAAGATAGCTGGCCAAGCGGGACATCTAACGAATCCGGCTTCCAGTAACGCGGCGGTGTAGTCGGCTTGCCATATTGCCGCAGCGTCCCTGGTGCCATACATGGATCGTAGCAACTTGCCCACCATGCCTGGCTCCTGATCTCCTTCAGGCAACGTGACGTATATATCCCTTTGGGCCTTCCCATAGAAGTGGGCCCTGGATATATCCAGCAAGCGTAGCTTCAAAGGTTTTCGTCCCTTCTTTGACGTTTTCAGCGTCACCATAAGAGACAGCAACAGCTTGATTGCTTCCAACGGGGGCATTGCACTAAAGCTCGCATGTTCCGGGATGAACTCGGCGTTCTTTGCACGCTTGACTTCCCTGCAAACAATTCTCGAGCGATAGTTGGGCCGCTCGTTGTCTCCTTTGTTGCGGTCTACCCACTTCATGGTGATTGGAACCTTTCCAGCTGCCCTTGCTTGCTCTTCGGGAACTTTCTCGTAGAGGTTTTGTTTCCACACCCATTCGAGTTCCTCTCGGCGTGCAGCAGCCACTTTATCCAGGTCCAGTTCTGCTCCAGTGTTGGAGTCTATTACGGGTCCTTGGATTTGGTGGCCCACGTCGGGAAACTGGTTGTAGATTGTAGATCTCCTCTTCTTCGTCGATCACGGGTGGAGAGTCTGGAACAGGTCCAGCCTCCATCGCATTTAACGCTTCTGAGAACTCACCATCCTCCACCAGCTGTTGGCGGAACGCCGTCAGGATTCCTTTTACCAACTTGGGTGGATACTTCTGTGCTGCGCGCGCTCGACCATTGATAAGGCGTACGTGGCGGTGCCACACCTTGCCTTCGGTGTTCGAACACGCTCCTTGAAGCACATCGGCAACGCATCGCGAGTTTGTCAACCATCGCGTCTCTTTCTTCACCAAGCCTTTGCCCTGGGCATCTTCCGACTCCATGCCCCAACGGCACATTGGCCCGGTGACCTCGTACACGCGAGGGTCGGCTCGCAACGCTTTCACTTCCGGTTCTTCCCAGCTCCGTGCACCTTTTGGGTGCTCGTGTAGGAAATACCTTCCGGCTTCCATTTGCTTCCAGTATGCCTGAACGGCTGTTCGCAAATGTTTCTTTCCTTCTGCCAGTCGTTTGCGTCTCACTTCGACAGGCACTTTTGCATTTGCGTCAACCAAGTTTTGCAGGACAGAGAACGGCCCACATGGGGGCGATCCTCCCAAGAACTTTGGCTCTTGCTCGTCCAGTAGCACGAACAGCTCGCGCACGTGCGAGTCTTTGCTTAGATCCCAGTAGTCTCCATCTGGTCGTTGGGTTTCCAGGTCAATGGAAAATCCAGGCCTCATTCCAACGACATGTGCTTGCGCCGCTACTCGCGGCGGGGAGAAAATCTCAGAGATCGTGCCCTTCGCTCGTGCGTCCCTCAGGACAGCGCACAAGCACTCAGTAAGTTGACCCAGCTCGATTTCTCCGTCCCCGTTGCCTCCAGCTGAACCAGCTGATGGATCCACGGGCTGTCGTTCGGGCTGAGGGTCACGGCTTCCTGCAGAAGGAAGCGGTCCCATTTCGACGACTGCTCCAGAGTCATCTTCAGGCTTTCCTTTCGCACTCTCAGCCTGCATCCTCTGATGCAGCTCTTCGAGGTCTTCGTCAGGGACTCTCTTGTTTCCCTTTCGTTCTTGCCTCCTTTTCTTTTCACTTGATCCTCCTCGAGCTTCTTCCCGCTCTCTCAGATCTTTGGCCACATTTCGTTCTAGCGGTTCTCCGGCTGCTTCTCCCGCAGCCATTTCGGCATCAGGCTCTGGTGCGCCTACCAACACCGGTGCGTTAGCAGCTACCACAGCCTCGGGTGCCCCTCCTCCGGGCTTTGGTCTTCGCCCAGCATTCAACCGATCTCGGACAGCTTCAATGCGTGCCCTTCCTTCTTCAGTCTTCTGAAGCTCGGACTGAATCCGCAATCTACACTCATGATTGTGCGACCTATGTGGTAGGTCACACATCTGAGCATCGCACCCTGGGCATAACGGTGTGAACCCATGCTTTTCAAGATCAGATTTCAGCACGTACAGATTCCTTGGAATCACTTCTTCCTGTGGCAGTCGCCTCGGCTGTGCCACGACGGCCGGCAGCTCAACCCTCAGTTGGCCCGGCTCCCGCGCTTGGAGTCTCCAGGGAACACCCCGAAGTTCACTCCAGTTTTCGTACTTGTACTGATCTGCAGGAGGACGTCTCGTCACAGACGCTCCTTTCACCACACCTCTGGCTGTCATGATGAACACGTCGTTGTTCACCCCGACGCCTACAAACATGCCCATACTGACCCTTGGTTCTAGGTCATGCTTTCTACCATCTCGCGGTTGTCTTGGTCGGAACAATACATGTTCCCCGAAACTCACCAGTGGCGTGCGCCACTTTCTACCGAACGTCCTTTCGTAAGGAGTTCGCCCATCCGCTCCAACGCGGAACCGCGATATTAGATAGGCTGCATGGCGTGGAAGCCAATGCATACAAGGGTGCGTCGGCTCGATGTTGAATCCAAGCCGCTCTTGCAAGTCCGACAGGATTGCTCGGATCTGTCGCTTCATTTCTCTCACTGCGACTTCAATGTAGCCATTCGACTGGTGGTCCTCCACTGGGACCTCCACGAGGTGGATCTTCAGGTTCATTTCCTCCTTCACTTTTCGCTTGAGCGCGAGGATCCCGTTCTCGTTGTCGCTCTTTAAACAGAGCTCCTTAAATCCTGTTTCAGCCAAGCAGCGTTTTAACCACTCTACTGCAAACAGGTCAGTTCCTTTTGCTGGAACGACGCTAGACCAGTACCTACCAGTCTTGTGACACTTAACTACCAAACACGGTAAAACCCCTTCACTCTCGCTCTTTTCTTGGCCAGAGTTCAGGTAAAAGTAGTCTAGTGAAACGTAAGGCAACCTACCCTCATCAGCATCGGCAGGTTCCCCTGTTGCGTGGCGTGGTGCCGTGACTCGAGCACGGCAGCAGTGGATGCACCATGAGCGGTGCACGCTGTGGCCCGTGGCCCTGTGCTGGTCGATCTCCTCCTGGCTCGGGTCGGCAGGAGATCGCTTCACGATCGCCATCCTCGCTTCTTCGCCTGCTTCTCCATCTCCAGCGGCTTCGTCGCCGCCGGCCGCTCCCGCAAGAGCCTCTGCAGGTCTTACGCCTCTGGCTGCCCCTGAAAAGGAGCACTTTCTTCTTTCTCTTCGGCTTCACCTGTTGCGTTCAGCTCGGGCGCGTTGGTCTGGCGTGGCCGGACCCAAAAGTCCATCATGTAGATGCCGTTCTCCACATGCACTGGCGTGAGCTGCGCTCCGTGGCGTCTAACCAGCCCAGCCATGAACTTTTCGTACTCCTTGGCAGCCTCGCTGCCCAGCGGGATAAGGCGCCCGCCGCGCCTCGACAACGCCAGGTGGTGACCCATGGCCACTTTGCTCCCCGACGCCAATGGGCGGTGAACATTGGTAACTCTCCCGGCTACCCCTTTCGGGTTTCCGCGGGAGTCTGTGCCCTGAATGCACAGGCCACCTTCGTCTTGCATCACTTCGGCACTTGCCGTCTTGTAGGTCGTGCCGCTCGTGGGTCCGAGGTCGTAACCCATGCCCTTGAGCACTTCGGCAAGTTCGGTCGGGATCGCCGTGGCGGCGGCTCCCGTGTCCAGATTCAACCTGATGCGCTTCCACCCATCCACATCCTCGACCACTCCAGCCGAATCGGCCAAAGTGCCAAAGGAGTTGACAGGAACTGCTCCTGCATCGGGTGGTCCTCGTGGCCACTTTGGACCCTCTGTCGGGTGGAGGCTCGTTTTCGTCCTCCTCCTCGTCGTCGTCCTCCGGGTTTCCCTTGTCCCTCATCTCGCGCTTGCGCTTCCGGCGGCTCAAGTTCTTTCTCTGGTAGTACCCAGGCGGGCGCTTTCGAGGCTCCTTCGCCTTCCTTTCCGGGTTCGTTGCCAACAAGACCTCCTCGTCGTCCGGCTCCTGGCGTAGGTTCGCCCTCGCCCTCTTCGACAGCGGTGCGGCCTCAACAGCAGGCTCGTCGGCATCCTTGTCGCGCACTCGCTCGTCGACCGTGACGGTCTCGCCTTCGAAGCGGTCTGTCTTATCGATCTTGTGGCTGGACCCTTTTGAGTCGTACCGCCGGTGCCACTCTTGATCCTTCTCGATGCGGTCTGCGACGCGCTCTTTCAAGCCTTCTCGGCGATTCAGCAACGCTCTTCGGCGTCCCTTCTCGTTCTTCCAGGCTTGGTGGTGCGGCACTCCGGCCGCCCTGTCGGCAAAATACCGACTGTCGTGAAACGACTGGTCGTCGATATTTTCGCGCGTGATCACGATACTCTGCCGTGGCCGGTCGCGCTGCAGAGCTCGCCTTTGCTCTTCCATTTTCCTCTGCTCCTCTGGGTCTTCTTCCGAGGCGATATTCTGCCTCAAGGTCTCGGCCAAGGAACTTTTGAGCATCGCAAGCGACCCCGCTGTGAATCCGCTGCTTCGCCGCGGTCCTTCCGCTTTCGGCGTACTCTTTGCTGCGGGCTTAGGTGGCGGACCCTGGGGCTCGCTGGGCCTCCGAAGGTCTTTCCTCGGCGCTAGCGTCCTCTTCGACGACGTGACCTTTGGAGTGCCTCCAGGCGAACCGCCCGGAGCACGACTCCTTGTCTCTGCCTCTTCGTTTCCTTTCTTCGCCTTCTTGTCCGTCTTCTCTTTCTTCTCATTCTTCTCTTTCCTTCGCTCTTCCAGCCGGCGCTTTGCTCTTCCAACGGCTTCTTCCGCGCTGCCGAACGACCACGCGTCCGCCTCTCCGAACACGTGTCGCAATCGGTGCCTTGCGCCTTCAAAGCAGCGTCTCCAATCGAGCCTCTGGGCAGGGCCTTTCTCATCTCCTTCTTGTGCTCGATCCTTTCTGAGAAACGCATGCTGCTCCACTTCTCCTTGGGCAGGAGCGCGAAGCCTTTGGACGACGTCGCGGGCGCCTTAGGCTCGTCTTCGGACGACTCGTCCCCGCTCGGGCGCGTAAGCTCTCGCTTCGGCACCTTCGGCATCGCCTTCACCTTCACTTCAGACTTAGGCATGTGCTTGAACAACGGTCCCGCTTTCGGTGCCTTTGGCCTAGGCATTTGTTTCTGCTTTGGTCTCGATGGCGCTGGCTGCTTCGGGTCGGCGACCATCGGCATATCTAGCGCAGGCTTTGTGGTCACAGGTGGCTTAGGTGGAGCGGCACGTGGCGTGGCGGGCGCGGGTGTTGAAGTCGCGCTGGCTCCTGAACCCAAGGAAGCAAGCTGAGCCGCCTGCTGCTCTATGATCGCCCCAAGGGCCAAGTTGACACGCAGCAAGCGCGCCATTCCGGTCTCTTCCGTTTCTTGCGAGGACCCCGCACCGGAAGGGAGTATGCCCATACTTCTCAGGGCCTCCACAACGCTCGGATCCACCGCCAGCGAACCGCCGGCGGGATCCACTCCCTCTTTCTTTCTCTCCGGCTCTTTCTTCTTCTGCGTTCCTCTCGCAAGAGCCGCGCGGGTACGCTCGCCGGTCCGACTGGGCGTTGGCTCGCTGACCGGTACTTCTTCGTCTTCCTCCGCGGTCTCCTCTTCTTCCGTCTCTTCCACGGCCTCTTCTTCTTTCAACTCTTTCGCCATGGGTGCAGCTACGTGGAGCGCACCTAAGGCTAGGTAGTTACTTTCGTTTGAGCCCGCGGCTTCGTTCCAGTCGCCGTCGTCCCAACCTAACGCTTCCCAGTCACCGCCGTCCCATTCTGCGGCCTCCTCTCCTTCGGGTTCCCTTTGCTCCTCCACGTTTCCTACCGCCTTCGGCTTTCCACCTTTTCCTCCTCTTCCTTTGCCACCTTTGCCTTTGCCTTTGCCGCTTTTTCCTCCTTTGTCGCCTTTTCCTTTGGGCTTCTTGTCCTTTCCTCCTTTGCTCGAGGGCGTGCCTTTGCTGGTGTTGTTGTTGTTGGTCTTGGCGCTCTTTCCGGCTTGACCACCGCCAGGCGCCCAACACTCCGACTTGATGTGTCCCGGCTTGCCGCAGTTGTGGCACTTGATCGCTCGTCGATCTGCGCCTTTTCCTTTTCCTTTGCCTCCACCTCCGAACGCGCCAATGTCCATCGGCGTTGGTCCTTGCTCGTTCGACGAGCTTCCAGGCTTCAACTTCAGACCGATCCTCGTCTCGAGGTACGACGAGAGTTCCTTCCGGCCCTCATCGTAGTCTGCGAAGCGTGCCTGGTTGAGTTGGAGGTGGCGCTCGACCTCCGCCGGACAGATGGACTCCAGGATAGCAACCCGGATGTCTTCATCTAACGTCGGCCTCGAGCCATCCGGCTTCCGCCGGTTCTCGTACTGCCTTACTTGCTCTTCCCACGATTCTACCGCGGCCGAAAGCTCTTCGATCTTGTTTACCCGGCTCGGGTTCAGCACGCTCCGAAGCAAGGCTCTTCTACGCCCTCCGGTGGAAGGGTCGTATCTTTTGCACAAGCGCCTCCACGCTTCGAGTCCGTTGCCTTTCCCGGCCGCACGGATAATCGTGAACGCTTCCTTTTCACAAAGCGTCTGGAGCACTGCATACAGCTGCTGGCTTTTCCCTTCAAGCTCAGGTACTTCGTGCTGCGAAGGGTTCACACTCCCAAACGCAGCCGCAACGGATGCGCCGCTAATCGGGTCTGTTTCTTCTTCTGCCCACGTCATGGGGTCTTCAAGATCTTCGTGGACCGACTGGACGAAAGCCTCCAATCGAATCTTCCACTGAAGAAAGTCTGCTGTTCCATCGTAGCTGTGTGGCTTCGCCAAACCTCGGTTGTCTACAAGAGTCACCTTCTTCGGATCTCTTCTCGCGCTATCCAAGATGGCTTTCTGCGTCTCGACCATCTGCTCCATAGTGGCTTGGAGCGTCGGTGCAATGGCACCCTGCTGGACTTGCGCCAGTCTAGTGTTCAGGTCTTCTTCTCGACGCCTGCTCTCTTGGAGCTCCGTCTGCAACACCGCCAGCTGTTGCGCCAGCTGGTCGAACCTTTGTTCTACCGAGGCCATCGCCTCTAGTTTCCTCGACGAACTAAGGCCCTCGCTCCTGGCTGAACCAGCCTAGAGCCGAGCAACCTTGCCCTAAAGGCCGGTGTAAGGTCCAGATCCCTTAGGAAATTCCCAAGGTGTCCCCACAACCTTTGGAGGTGGCGGAGTCGAAACAGTTTCCGCACTAGGCGTGCCCACAACAGCGTGACGTTGCGTCGTGCCCTTCTAGCACACAGTCGCAGTACAAACATTCACCGCTGGAACGCAACCGAGCGCTCCGCTACCATGATTTGATATTAGCGACGCTCCTATTTTCCTTGAGCCAAAAGTAGCGTTAGTCGAGGTACATGTACTCATCCCTTTAGGAGAATACGTGTCCGGAATCACCCCTAAACCTAAACCCTAAACCCCAAACCCTAAACCCTAAACCCCAAACCCAGAGATGAAACTCAAGCCTACTTTTGGCCTGAAGCGACGATCGCCCCGTGTCTTTCTTGGAGCCCACAAGCCCCTGATGCGTTGGCTTCCCCAACCCAGAAGTACGGGTTTAGCGTCTAGGGTTTAGGGTTTAGGGTTTAGGGTTGGGGTTTTAGGGCTTAGGGTTTAGGGTCAGAGAGCCCACATGATATTCCACGAGGTCTCCGTGTCCTTTTGTCATCAGTCTCGGCACCACGCTTTGGGCGTTGCCCTAAACCCTAAAGCCTAACCCCTAAACCCCTAACCCCTAAACCCTAAACCTTAAACCCTAAACCCTGAACCCTGAACCCTAAACCCTAACCCCTCAACCCAATCCTCCACACTACTCTGAGACCGTCTCGGGGTCCCTACCATCTCACGGAGAAAGGCGTAGTAGTCCTCCTCATCGCCGTCGCGACACCTGTTGAGTGTGCGTTCTGAGTTGGCGGACGCAGGCATCCTCCGTCAGGGTTTAGGGTTTAGGGTTTAGGGTTTCGGGTTTCGGGTTTAGGGTTTGAAGGTTTAGGGCTTAAGGCTTTGGGTGTAGGGCTTAGGGTTTAGGGTTTAGGGTTTGGATCCTCAACCCAAAAAGCGCGGCAAGAGACACTCCTTCTCTTATTCTGAACTATGTATGATTTGGGGCTTCTTCTGCTTTCAATAAACCCTAAACCCTATACCTTATACCGATACCCTTTCCCCTATGCCTATACCCTATACCCTAGAATCACCCTAAACCCTAAACCCTAAACTCTAAACTCTAAACCCCAAACCCCAAAAACCCTAAACCCTAACCCTAAACCCTCTCCCATTCGACTGCCAGAAGCACAGCCAGCTTACAGTAAACTCCAGAAAGTTAGAAAGTTGGAGCATGGTTTAAGGATGATTAGAGCTGGGATTCCCTTTCAGATACCTTTTGGGTTTAGGTTTAGGGTTTAGGGCCTAGGGTTCAGGGTTTAGGGCGTGCCAAACGGAAGCGCGCTTTGGGAGCGCGCGGTAGTCTGCACCCCAAGACCGCCCACTTACAACTCTCAAGGAGTTAAGACCTTTTGTATTTTTACAAAGCATCACATGAGTCAGCACTCACGCCCTTTTGGGGACCTCCACAAGGTGCGTGGACCAGGCACAAAGCTGCAGCAGACGGAAAGGCGAGGCAGGGTCAGCGAAGACAGCTTGGGTTGGCACGGAGGGGCTATGGCCAGGGATGGGCCAGGAACAGACAAAGGCAGCGAGGCTTGGTTGGCGCGAAGGGGCTAAAGCCAGGGAGGCAGGGCCAGGGAACACAGGCAGTGAACAGCTTGGGTTGGCGCGAAGCGAGTTGGGTTGGGCAGAGCGCCACGGAAACAGGGCAGGCGTGGACCAGGCACAAAACTGGTGTGCAGACAGCTTGGCTTGGCGCGAATGGGGTAACAAAACGGCCCCTGCCCTGGGGGCCTCCAATGAAGGACCCAACAATGTGCGCGGACAGCTTGGGGTTTAGGGCCATATAATATAATACAGTGACAACTGCTGACTCGGCCTGTGCCTGTCTGGAGGGTAAGCCAGCCTGGAGGCCAGCTCGGTCGCCCGCCTGGAACTCCCTCGCAGGGTCTCACTGAGCACTCGACCAGCGCCCGCCTACCCCAAAAGACAAGAGAGTGGGGTGGCGGGCGGGTTTAGGGTTTAGGGTTTAGGGTTTAGGGTTTAGGGTTTAGGGTTTAGGGTTTAGGGTTTAGGGTTTAGGGTTTAGGGTTTAGGGTTTAGGGTTTAGGGTTTAGGGTTTAGGGTTCAGCAGCTCCGGATCGAGCAGATTTACGGCTCGGATATAACACCCACCCACCCAGAGAATCCCATAACATTAAGAAACTATAAAGTATCTTCATACAAAAGTTGGGGTGGGAACGTGCCTTGCCCACGAATTTTTGTGCATTGCCCACGAATTTTTGTGCCCTGCCCACGAATTTTTGTGCCTTGCCCACGAATTTTTGTGCCTTGCCCACCAATTTTTGTGCCTTGCCCACGAATTTCGGTGCCTTGCCCACGAATTTTGGTGCCTTGCCCACGAGTTTTTGGTGCCTTGCCACCAATTTGTGTGCCCGAAAATTCGTGGGCAAGGCACAAAATTTCGTGGGCAAAGGCACAAATATTCGTGGGCAAGGCACAAAATTCGTGGGCAAGGCACAAAAATTCGCAGGCAAGGCACATTTTGAGGCTTCAAGCCTTGCCCAAGGGCCAAAACTCCGAAACGTGCCTTGCACGTCTTGCCACGAACTTTTGTGGGGGGGGTAGGGGAGGGCGGGGGGGGGGGTGGGGGGGGGTGGGGGGGGGTGGGGGGGGGGGGTGGGGGGGGTGGGGGGGTGGGGGGGGTGGGGGGGGGTGGGGGGGGGTGGGGGGGGGTGGGGGAGGAGGGTGGGTGCCTTGCCCACGAATTTTTGTGCCTTGCCCACCAATTTTTGTGCCTTGCCCACGAATTTTTGTGCCTTGCCCACGAATTTTTGTGCCTTGCCCACGAATTTTTGTGCCTTGCCCACCAATTTTTGTGCCTTGCCCACGAATTTTTGTGCCTTGCCCACGAATTTTTGTGCCTTGCCCACGAATTTTTGTGCCTTGCCCACGAATTTTGGTGCCTTGCCCACGAATTTTTGTGCCTTGCCACCAATTTACGTGCCCGAAAATTGGTGGGCAAGGCACAAAATTTCGTGGGCAAAGGCACAAATATTCGTGGGCAAGGCACAAAATTCGTGGACAAGGCACAAAAATTCGTGGGCAAGGCACATTTTGGGGTTTTAAGCCTTGCCCAAGGGCCCAAAAATCCGAAATGTGCCTTGTCCACGAATTTTTGTGCCTTGTCCACGAATTTTTGTGCCTTGCCCACGAATTTTTGTGCCTTGCCCACGAATATTTGTGCCTTCGTCCACGAAACCCATTAAGGTTTATATATATATATATAGAAAGAGAGGTTTAGGGTTTAGGGTTTAGGGTTTAGGGTTTAGGGTTTTCGCTGCGAGTGCGCTTCGACCCCCTCCATGAAGTGGTTGGGGGTCGGCGCATAAGCTGCAATGCCCACCCTCCCACCCAAAATACAAACCTTGGACGGGTTTAGGGTTGTCTACCCCCCTACCCCCCTATCAAGGGGGGATATCTGGTTTGGTAGAGCAGAATCCCCAAAATGAGCAACCGTCAGCAGTCTCGACTCGTTTCCACGCAGCAGTTAATCGAAACCTTTTCAAGGCTGGACGTTTAGCCCTTTCAGGACTGGCTGCGGCAAAAGCGGCAGGCTCGACTCGATTCCACTCCGTGGTCCCTGGAAGACTTTCAAGCCCTTTCAGGATTGGCGACGGCAAAAGCAGCAGGCTCGACTCGATTCCACTCCGTGGTCTTAGCAAACTTTCAAAGCATGTTCAAACCCTTAATTTAAGCCTCCGGGCCTGTGTTTCTAAAGTCCCAAACCCTTAATTTAAGCCTCCGGGCCTTAATTTGAGGTTCCCCAACCCTTGATTTAAGTTTTAGGTTCTCAAGCCCTTAATTTAAGCATCCGGGCCTTAAACGTGGGTTCCCAAACCCTTGATTTAAGCTTCCGACCCTTCATTTAGGTTCCCAAACCCTTATTTTAAGCCTCCGGGCCTTAATTTTATATTCCGGGCCTTAATTTTAAATTCCCAAACCCTTGATTTAAGCTTCCGGGCCTGAATTTTAAATTCCGGGCCTTAATTTGAAATTCCCAAACCCTTAATTTAAGCTTCCGGGCCTGAATTTTAGGTTCCCAAACCCTTAATTTAAGCCTCCGGACCTTTATTTTAAGGTCCCAAACCCTTAATTTAAGCCTCCGGGCCCTAATTTTAGGTTCCCAAACCCCTTATTTTAGGCCTCCAGGCCTAATTTTCTCAGGTTCCCAAACCTTTTATTTAAGCCTCCGGGCCTTAAACGTGGGTTCCCAAACCCTGAATTTAAGCCTCCGACCCCTCATTTTCCGGGCGGTAATTTTAGGTTCCCAAACCCATGATTTAAGTCTCCGACCTTAAATTGTAGGTTCCCAAATCCTTAATTTAGGCCTCCTGGCTTGAATTTTCGGTTCCCAAACCCTTAATTTAAGCCTCCGGGCCTTGAAGGTGGGGCCAAACCCTTAATTTAAGCCTCCGGGCCTTAATTTTAAGTTCCCAAGCCCGTAATTTAAGCCGCTGGGCCTTGATTCTAGGTTCCCAAATCCTTAATTTAAGCCTCCGGGCCTTAATTTTAGGTTCCCAAACCCTTAATTTAAGCCAAGTTCCCAAACCCTTAATTTAAGCCTCCGGGCCTTAATTTTAGGTTCCCAAACCCTTAATTTAAGCCTCCAAGCCTTAATTTTCGGTTCCCAAACCCTTAATTTAAGCCTTCGGGCCTTGAAGGTAGGGCTTAAAGGTGGGCTCCCAAACCCTGAATTGAAGCCCCCGGGCCTTAATTTTAGGTTCCCAAACCCTTAATTTAAGCCTCCGGGCCTTAATTTGAGGTTCCCAAACTCTTGATTTAAGCTTCCGGGCCTTAATTTTGAATGCCCAAACCCTGAATTTAAGCCTCCGAGCCTTAAGTTCAGGTTCCCAAACTCTTCATTT